ATTTTGCCTTGAAAGACTTCTACTTGCCTCAATTGTTAAGAAACATAAACACATAATTACTATGGTAAGTGTATTCTCATTGCAATACATATTCCCAAATAATGACTTTTGGAGAATTTTTCATTGTTTGTTATTAAGGCCAATACCTCCTTATGACTGTTTCCCCCAAATGTCTTATATTATATTATGTGGGTTCACTTTTCATCACTATAACAAAATACTGGACACAAGATGCTTATGAAGAAAAGGAGGCTTATTTAGCTCAGTCTCAGAAATTCGAAGTTCAGATTGGGTGGCCCCATTGGGTTGACCTCTGGTAAGAGTGATGGGTGGTGGTACATTGGGGAATGCACATGAAGAAGCAAGACACAGTCACATCCTAAATGGGAGCAGAAAGTAACAGCCTGGGCAGGACCAGCCTTGCTCCTTACATTATGACCCTTTCACAAGAATTCAACAGGTTACATGAAAGCTACAAAAGGGGCTCCTTGAGAAATACTGCAGGTACCAATTATCTAAGGACTGTCCATAAGGCTTCACCTTCCAAAGGGTCCACCATGTTCCCAAAGAGCCACCCCAGGCACCAAGCCTTTGCACAATGGATCCTTGAGGAATATATGGACCATATCCAGAATGCAGCATGTATATAATTTATTATAATATGCAACTGCTACATTTATTTATTGTCTGTCTCTTCCTCTTCCTACCCCATGTCACTAGAATACTTTAGGAAATCAAGAATTTTATCTGTTTATTGATGCATCTCAAGCGTTGGTACAACCTGGAGGATAAAAAGTACTCAATACTTGGTGAATTAATGGGTTGATGATGAAGAATGAAAATCTGTAGGATACAAGGTACTTTGCACAGATGTGTGGTGCAAGGCTTTCAGGGACTTTTCATAAACTTCTCCTCTTCATTCTTTTCCTCTTGCCATATTCCCGTCTTCTTGTCCAATCCATTTGCACCAATTTTTATTATTTCTTTAACCTCCTTTCATCTTTCATGATTTTGTAAACATGTGATAAACAGGTTTCCTGGGTGGAATTAACCTATGGAGTACAATCTACATTTTCTGGAGAAGTCAGCTGTTATTTATTAAAAATACTAAGTATTTGTAACAGCTTCATACCTATACCTTCTGGTTTTATCTTAGGAGAAAAATTTGAGATTTTAGCTTTTAAACAGGATGATTAGTTTAAAATAGTTTTACTTACCTCTTATGCATAGCAGTGTCTTGATTTAGGGCTAATTACTCTAGGCAATTGTACTAATCTTTGAGGTTCTTAAATACTGTATTTTAAAACACTGCATCACTCATCTGTTGTGTATTAGAAGTTGAAGATGTTGTAGATATTGTAGTTTTGTTTTTCACTGCTAAGAAAGAGAAAAATGCTGCTGATCATAAACTATGACACAATATTTTCCTAACATTTAGCAAGTGGTTGGTGTTTTTTTGCACTAATGTATGTAACTTTAGTTCTCCCTCCAAAGAAAATATTTGCTTCTATACTGTCAGGTTTGTGCAGCATTGCTGAGCTGTGGCTTCTGTGGACATATGAAGTTTGGTTTCAACGATGAACCATAGAATAACCTTTCTGAAGATATCTGAAAAGCAACAAAATGAAACACTGTTATAACAACCATGCACCCATTTCAATAGAAGTGGTGACGTCATTAGTGCTGATGAGCAACCGTGAGAGTGCTTGAAAGGTGAACACAGCATGTGGATTCGGATGGGGTGAGGTACAAAGGCTGAGAAATCAGTGTGGATTTAAATACAAGTATTATAACGGTAAAAGTCAAATTGTCAATTCCTTTCAAAATATTTTCCATCACTTACAGCCCACTTACCTCACCGCTCTTACTGCTTTCTGAGTGTCCTCAGCAGTCCCCTTCCGTGAGTGTGTTTGAGAGGTGAGGTAAAAAGACAGCAAATGCTGCGGCCTCCTACTATCCACCAGAAAGGCAGGTTTGTGTAAAAGCAGCTTCGATGTTGTGGTCTCGTTTGCCTCATTTACCACGTGTGACGGTATCACGCTGGCTCTTCTCCAAAATCAAAATGACCACGAAAGGTAACTATTTTGAATCCATTCAGGACAGAGAGGGAAGAACAATGCCAACTAAAGACTCTCATGAAAGAGGACTTCCAGGACAGTTTCAGAAAGTGGCAAGGACAATGAGATAAGAGTGTTTGAGCAAGGAAGAGAATTTTGAATGATTAATAGCAATATGTCTCTTACTGCTATACAGTTTTACAATTTGAACATTAGTGTATTTTGACCACACTGCATAATTTAAGACTCCGGATTATAAAACACATTGTGATTTCAGAGCCTTTAAAAATGCAAAAGAATGTGTTCAGAGTCAATAAGTGGATTAATAATACAGAATTCAATTTTTTTGTTTCATAGAAGGAAAGCAGGCAAGGACTCCAAATGAACTGTGCTTCTTGGCATGAATTTTGGAGCTCACCTGACATGCTAGGCCACCCGACAGAGCAGCGAGTTTCTTTGACTGAGAGAGGACTTAACTTTAAGTGAAATGACATGGCAGCATTGGGGATCAGAGCAGTCCTTATGGTTTGGAGCACATCAGTTGCTTGACTATTTATTCTCCTGTGTAGAATGAAGGCTGGCCTCCCTCCCACTTGATGGCCCTTGTCTGCCCTCTAGATGGATGTGAGAGTAACTGAATCCTCACGCTCAGCCATTCTGAAATACATGGATTGGTGGGCACCCTTCACTTTCCTTATCAATGTTCCTCAGATAGTCCAAGTCTCAAGATGAGCTCTAACACTATTCAGAGTATTCCATGCGCACTTTTTATTTGTTGACAATATGTAATAATGCAATATTAGTCTTTTCTGGAGTACTTCTGTGGCTGTGTTTGGGGTAAACATCTGTTTTTTTATAGTAACATTTGCTCACAACAGCCTTAATCATGATAAAACTGAAGTTGAAAGAGGATTCTTTTTCCAAGGATGCCACTAGTAATGGTGAGTCAGCATTTCAAAACTAAATCTCCTTGTAATCAACAGCAACTTTTTATGTATTTCTATTTGATAAACTTCTGAAAGTAATAAGACATACACTCCAACGAACAGAGAACCACTTTTTAGATTGTTTCCCCAGTGATATCATACTCTTATTCTAATGGTTCTTTTGTTACTGAGGACACTTCTGAACTCCCCTTTGGAACTGCCTTCAGGACTGTGTAATGAGTATCTTTGAGAGTTGCCACTATTCACCCTGTAAAGTGAGGCTGATCTATAAAAGAGCCTCATGAGGTAGCTCTGCTGACTGGGGTGGATCAACAGGGTGATAGAGTTTTCAGTTATGCACACACGGTGGCAGTTTGTTTTTTTCTGAGTTGGCTGCCTGCCAAAGCACTGGCATTCTTGGGATATGCATGATCTTCTTTGGATAATAATGATCTGAAAGATATAAGACATTTATGGAAATGGAGTTACCAGACACAGAATATGTAACTTTATTTATTAACACCAGCAATTTGAATTGCACAGAAGTTTTGTTGGGACACATCAGGGATCTTAAACTGGCTCTTCAAGACAGTGAATGACTCCTGGAAGTGTGGTCTTTTACTGCACTCACACAGTGTGTTAATAGACTATGTGGCTCAGTGTGGTGACAGTGTAGGCAGTTAAACCAGTATCTTATATGTAGGCAACAGGGTGTTATGTTAACCCCATGTGCTCTGAAGGCATGTGAGCTTTTCACACCTAGAATTAGTACTCTTTCTTTCTAAAGGGACTTTGGACATCAGGCACTCCTCCTCTCCTAAAAACCTTCAGGCATTTTGTGTTCCAGCCCCTCCCAGCCAAAAATAATTCTTCCCTGTCCTGAAGTTTTATAAAATTTCATGAAACCTCACTTCATTCTCCCCATTGTCTGTCTCCTGCTGTCGCTGTTTGTGAAATGATTTGCCCCTGCTCCTAGAGTAACTCTGTCCCTTCTGGGCTTGGTGAGCCATTGCTGCTTCTCAATATCTAACCCTGGGCTGTGTCTGCCTCTGGGGAGAGCTTATTTATAGGAAGCATTGGGACAAAATAGAGGATGGGAGTCCATGGAGCGTCCACCTGCTAAGCCAGTAGAACCTAGAACTGTTCTTTGTGTAGGTGGTCGTTAGGCAAAATTTGTGAAATCAACTAAAACAGCCAAGCAATTACCATTCCATCTCATGATGAGGAAAGGGAAGTATTTATTCAACGAACATTGAGTGTACATTAGATGAAGCATCATAGTAGATACTGAAGGTTCAAAGATGAACATATATAAGTCCTTGTCCTCAAGAAATTCTCATTCTGCCAGTTATTTGGATGGGGGAAAAGTCTGAATGAAACTGGAACACGGATAATACAACACATCAAACAGCACATCTCCCAGATCTAGTTCAGAAGAAATCTTGAAAATGTTACAGAGTTACAATTCCTGAGCTAGAACAAATCCTGTGGCTCAGTATAGATTGATGGTTCTGAGGGAGAAAGATGAGCCAGGAGAAAGATCTGGCAAAAGACAAACTTAAAACCCACTTGAGCTGTCTATTCTACCACTTTAAAGGATTCTTGTTAAAAAAGAAGATTTTCCTGTGGGGATTAAATCAGATTATCATCCAGCCTCCTGGATCTCATGCTTTCTTATGGGCATGGCATGACCTCTAAAAGAATGCAGTCTGCTTCAGATATGCATCTGAAGTTCTCAGTTATTTTTGGAAACAGAGGCCCAATCTTGCTGGTAAACTTGAGCTTTTACATAACGTGACAGATGGTGTGGTCAATGTTTTTTTGATTATGAAGCAAACTCTAAAAGAGTAGCAAACCAAAGCAAAGGTTCTCTATATCAACTGTAAGTTATCTTTCACAGTGTTGCATTAGAGAGGCGGTTTTGAAGCTTAAAAAGTAGGTTATCCTCTCATCTAACCAGGAGAGTTGACTGGCTGCTGTGAGACAGTGACCGAAGCTCAGGGCAGGGTAGAGGGCCATGTGGGTGAACTGCACTGTGAGGTCCGGATTGCTGTGCATCATTCTGTTCTTTGCCTTTGCCAAACATAAGTCTTCTCAATCTTCTTTCATCAAAAGTTGTCACTCGAGGGAGTCACTGTCCCAAGCTGTGGACACCCTGTATGTCAAGGCAGCCAGGCTAAAGGCAACCATTCCTGTAAGTATTGGGTTCTGTGTCAATGGATGATGGAAAGGATGCTATAATCCTACACATAACTTCTCATTTCGTTGTAGGAGGATCGCATTAAAAATGTACGGTTATTAAAAAAGAAAACAAAAAAGCTATTTATGGTAAGAAAATCTTTTTAATTTGTACTTTTTTCTGTGTTTGATGTTCTTTTTCCTGCACTTTAATTTTTCCAGATAGCAAGTAATAATCAGGAGCATGTCTCAGTGATATGAAAATTCAAACTACTCATACATTTGCAATTGCTTATATTTTATTTGTAGAAGAGTTGCAGATTTCAGGAACAACTTCTTTCCTTCTTCATGGAAGACGTTTTTGACCAACTCCAATTACAAATTTGCAAGGAAACACATTTTGTAGAAGACTTTCACAGCATCAGACAGAAACTGAGGCGCTGTGTAAGTATGCACATCAGATGTTGTGAATTAGAACCTAGAAGCTTATCTAAAAGCAGCCATCTCCATGTCAACCGGTGAGTACAAAGGGTTTTGCCATTGTTAACTCTTAGTCCTAAAGGAAACGAGAGTCCCTAACCATAAAACAGCACCAAGGAACCGTGTGTACCTCATAATGCCACTAGTAACTGTCAAAGAATAGTACATATTACATGCCCCCCCAAAAGATGAAGTAACATGGAATAGTCTTCAAATAAATAGTCATTTTTAAATCATTCCCCAATTCTCAAGTAATTCTTTCATTCATTCAACAAATATTTCTTGAACACACGCTTTGTTCCAAGCATTATTCTAGGTCTCAGTTTCTCTGTGTCTGCTTCTGTCTCTCTCCTTTCTTTCCTTTTCTTTTTTCTGTACTATAATGATGACAGCCTTTATAGTTCCATTTTCTTATTTATTTATGTAAGTTTTAAGATAGTGGTAGCCTCTCTTGAAGGCATAGTTATAGCCAAAACCTGAAAAAGAGTGGCTTGTTTTCTTTCATACCTAAATCATTTCATGCCTCAGTGTGGTTATTGTCACCGTAAGTAGTGAAAAATTATTAAGAAGGTAAATGTGACAGTGATCCTCCAAAAAGATCCACAGAATTAAAATATTGCCAGGGAAAAGCCAGATCTGTGCTGGGTCAGTTGAGGTGCTTCTTTGGAAGTATTGTATCTTTTCTGTGACTTGTTTGGTCTCCAACAAAACCTCCTCCAGCCTCTTGCTGTAGGACCTTGCAGATGGCACAATGGTGGATGGTGATCAGCATTTTAGTTCTCTGGGATGAGGGGTGGAAATGAGCTTTGTACCTTTGAATATCCTGTCATTGAGGCTTCCGCGCTGTGCAACTGGAGGTGGTTTCTGCTAAGCCCACTAGAGGGCTCCTTACCCACATTCTAGGGTTTAGGGCTGGGGCATTTTATGAATGTGACCTAGTCAGGAAAAAACAAAACAAACCAACAGATCCAACAGACTTGCATTCTTATGCCTTTGTGTAGTTTATCTTTGGGAGTTGTGTTGCAAGGTTTTTCATAAATACTTATATTCTGTTAAAATAGCAACAATAAAACTACAAATAAGTGCTGTACTTTGTGTAACTACAGGCTGAGCAACCTGGCTCAGCTCCCTTGCCTGCAACGATGGAAAAACCGTTAAGTATTGCTGTTTTATTCCCTACTTAACCTATGACATCATCTTTTTACGGCAACAAAAATGAAGTAGCCCTGTACGTAAAGTTAAATGATGTAATTTTACATTTTAATGATCACATTTTGATTATGTTATCACCCCCAGTAAGAGGGTTTTTACGATCAAAAGATACGAAGAGGAGGAGAACAGGGAACTTGACACTGGCCTAAACAATGAGACCAGCAGCAGACGCTGTAGGCTAAGCGGGTGTCACTTAAGAGACAAGAGAGCCTTTCCCAGCCAGGGATCTGGAGCACAGGGACCCCTAAGGCCTTTAAGAAAAGGTTGAAATATACCTTTTGTTTGTTTTCTTGCTGTTAAAGCCATTGGTTGGCTGTTTTACCCATCTGATTTATGGTACTCTAAATTCAGTTTGACACATGCAGTGTATGTGGACACCTGGGCCCCTAAATCCATGTCTGATTGATCATTGATTTGATTGCAAACATAACAATCGTCATAATTGACACCAAGAATATTCTAGATGAAAACTTCAAATATTTAAACCTTAAACCTGGCTTGCTTTCTTTGATTTTGGAGCAATTTTTCCTTGACTCAAATGGTCAGTTGAAATGCTTCTTTCAGACTAGCAGCATGGGTGTGTGTGTGTGTATTGGGGCAGGGACCTTTGTTGCTTAGTGGCTGCCGTTTGAAAGGCGACTGGCTCCCCCTGGTGGTAAAACGCAGACTCACCTCCATCATCTTTTCCTGTGCGGACTGAAGGCTTTTTCTTCCTTCTTTGATCTCTCTTGCAAGCCACAGCTGGTTTGTTTCTCAAGCTTTGGAATGTAGGCCCCTGGTAAAACACCTTGGAAAGGAGGCGATAGGGTCACCCTGAGATTTGGAAAGCCTCCGCAGACATTGCTTTTGGGGAATAGGCATTGCTTTGTGTTTAGTCTTTTTGCCAGTCACAGTTTTATATTTTGGGCAACAGAATCTTGTGTCTGTTCAATCTATCTGAGCATCCGTGCTATAAAGAATTCTGAGTTAATAGTCAGGGCAGGGTTTGGCAGGGAGAAGTTCTAGACTGTGAAGTAGGCAACATTACTTAGACGACACTGTCTTAGTAAAAATGGACTTTAGCATGGTTAGTGCAGTGTTGCTGTATTTGACTGTTGTTCCTACTGTTGGGCTCTCATGATAAAAATGAGAACAGACGGTGCTCACTAGATGATTTACTCCGTGTGTGTCTCCTAGGAAGACACGGGGGAGGGAGGACAATGACCTTGCAATGCTGAACAGAAGCCCAGAAATGACATCCAGGATTTGGAGGCAAATTTAGTTACATCGACAGAAGCTGATGGGGATCATTCCCAGAATATCAGGTCCCAGGCCCCGGTGGTGTAGGGCCTGTCTTGGATAAGTAAGCAAGAAGTACAGAGGCAGAATGGCTTGTCAGTTGGGGACTGGTTTATATAATGTGCATCACAGCGGCCAGCCATGAATCATAGTGAACAGCCGTTTCTAAGAGACAGGAGCAGCTGGAACAGGAGCTATTACCTGGGCAGCTAAGAAACTGAAGTCTGAGGGGGGCAATTTCTGCTACAGCCTCCCAGACATCTGTCTCTCCAGAAGGCGAAAGTAAGGGCGCCTGAAGAGTGTTAGCACCACGGAGCAGGTGTGTTCAGTAAGGATGAAGTAGGGAAGGTTTCCCAGAGGGACTCTGACAAGGCCCTTGAGTCCTGGGAGATCTCTTTTGAAAGAACCTTGGCGTATTTCAAAACTTCTGGAAATCTTCCATCATCAGAAGACAACAGGAAATAGCCAGCATTTGTTCCCAGGACTAACGCTAAGGCCAGTGTGATGCTATAGCCCAAATGGGATTTTGAGAGACTGATTAAACAGCTAATGCATTATTTCTTTTGTAGTAGGAGAGTTCAGTGCTGTGTGTGTTCTGCACGGTTGACTCAAATATAGCATTTTGATAATCCACTTGCTTAATGTGTGTACTTACTTAGTATTTAAAATAATGCCAACAGTAAGACATGGGCTGTTACTTTTCTGAAAAATTTCCTCTCAAGCTCTGAAATAACAACAAAACAGGTAATCACATTACAGACTATCATATATAATTTAGAAAATTCAGTAATTATTTATTTTCAATCTTAATACAGTATTGTAAAGGTAATAATGAGAATTACTACAGCTTTTTATAAATTGCTGTATTGTTCATGGGGTTTTAAAATATTCTGGTCTATGGAGATCTTTTATTTCCATTATCAGTTTTTAATAGACATCAGAATACTCAAAAACTGGTCACTTCGTAGAAGGTAAAATGCTAGTTTAATTTTGACGGAATTGTTTTCTTCAGAGAATGAAATTTTACCCAATACAATTTGGCTTTGGGAGAGTTTGTGCATTGTATGGTGATCTAGTAAGGAGCAAAGTACTAAGTTCCTGCTTTAAAATTTACCTTCCTTGATAGAATTATTTTGGGCGGGGTTATTTTCAGTTTTGGGTCTCCAGAGAGAAAAATTAAAGAAAAACTCTAGCACAGTAAAGAATCAGATAGTGGATCATCTGTTGTCAGTGGACATGGTGAGAGTATTTTTCCCATTTTACTGTTCTTACATATGGAGCTTTATGATTCTTGGCTGGGAACTATGTTACCATTCTTCTGATAGTCATGTTACCCCACTGACCACTGGGCATTTTTAGGTTTTAGAATTTTTAATTCAAAATTCATAATATAGTAAATGCTTATGACAATGAATACTGACATATGCCACACAATGACATTTCAGTCAAAAATGGACTATGTATGTGGTGGTGGTCTCATAAAATTCTTATTGTCTAGTGACATCTTAGTCATTCTAAAATCCTAACAAGAATTATTAACATGTTTGTGATGGTGCTGGTGTAAACAAGCCTACTGCCTGGCCAGTCACATAAGAATCTAGCATATTCCACTGTGTACGCAGACACACAGCTTGATAATGTCAGTAAATTATAACCTCACAGGTTTATGCCTTTGCTGTACTATACTTTCATTAGTAATTTTAGAGTGTACTAACTTATTGAAAAATGTTTACTATAAAATTGTATGCTGCTTAGGGCTGTCAGAAGCTGCATATCTTTTGAGCACTGGGTCTCTTGCTTATACCAGAGTCCCTGGTACGTGATTAACATCAAGGTCTGGGTAAATACACTCCAGGGTCTCCACACAACACTGAAATCAGTCAGCTTCACATTTTGAACAAAGCACGAATGTGGTTCTGTTTATTTTCTTTCCTCATAGTCCTTTAGAGGTAACGTGTGTCACTCATGACTATTTTGTGCCTAAAATTTTTGTTGTAAATTGACAAATCATAGTTGTGTATATTTTCAAGGCACAAAGTGATGTTACACTTATAAATACCATATGTAACGGTTAAAGCAATACTGAGCATATTTGTGGTGGGGACACTTGAAATTTGTTCTCAGTAGCTTTGAAATGTACATTATTATCTACTGTTTGCACAGTGCTGTGCAATATGCCTATCTCAAAGTGGAAAAGTCCCGCACAGGTTTCTCCTATCAAGCTGAGGCACTCCAGCGTCCCTAACCACCTTTTCACTCCCTGAATATTTGAGTTAGACTGCCTTAGATTCACATTTAAATAAGAGCATACAGCATTTGTTTTTCTGTACCTGGCTTATTTCACTTAGCAAAAACAAAAAGGTGATGCTTGCATTTCATTGGCAAAGAAATAAGGGGAACAATACAAGGAGAAGCTTAAGTAGGGTTTGGTGGCATACAACAATGCTCTGTTCTCAGGAAACAAGTAATTGAGT